TTGTTTTAGTTCTCAAGATTTTCCAGACACATCCACAGAGAAACCACAGCATCACTTGGACACTTCACTCGGGCTCGGCTTCATTTCAAGAACCTCACAACTTGCCAACAGTAACCCAGTGGCTAATTATACCATGTTCCCAACTGAAGGTTTTTCCATATAACATTAGGTTTCAACCAAGTTTTTCCATTCTTTCATGTCTCACTTCTCCTGGTTTTGCTCTTTCTTCACTGGCTTTTTCTTTGTTTCACAAAGGTTTATTCTGTCTGTTTTAAGAGGAACTGCTTACAAGCCCAGCGCCCATCACATCAGCTGCTAACAGTAAAGCCTTCGACACACCACAGCATCCACCTGGGGTCTCCTAAAACACCTCCAGAATGGCACCAGCATCACCCAGCACTGGGGTTAGGGTTCAGTAAAAGAGCTGAAGGACAATGCCCCATCCCTGGCAGTGCTCAAGGCCAGGCTGGACACAGGGGCTTGGAGCAAGCGGCTCCAGTGGAAGGGATCCCTGCCTGTGGCAGGGGTTGGAGCTGGAGGAGCTTTAAGGCCCTTTCCAATGCAAACCAGGCTGGGGTTCTATCACCTATGGAGGTAGTGCAGTGGAGAGCTCAATGTGAGCTCCACAAGCAGCATACCCCATGCGTGCACGTGCCCCTGGCACTGACTGACAGTGGGACAACCCCTGCAGGTCTTAAATTTGACCCAGTTCCAGCAGGTGACTGGTGAAGGCCTCAGCATTCCCAAGGTACCCTCAACAGGAGCAGTCACAGAGCTGCAGCAGTCAGGGCTTTCCTAAACACACAAGGAGAGGTCTGCACTGGATAAAAGCATGGAAGTGGGAGCCTTCCTCCCCACGAAGGAAGTCCGAGGTGTGTTTTGTGGTGAATTCCTTGCTTATTTCCCAAACAATCCTCATTCAAACAGCAGCCTCCAGTTACCAAAACCTGGGGACTGAAGAGTTTTAATCGTGTTTTCCCCAGAACCCAAATATTTGAAGCCTTTCTTTGCAAAATGCTTCAATGTACAGAACAAAAGCTGCACCCTGAGGATCAGGCTCCTCCTGAGCAACCGAAGCAAGAGCACACGTGGGCGAGTGTGTACGTATGTGATGAAGTGCCAAATTCATACTTGCAGCGCAGCAGGGATTTCCCCTGTCTTAGGGGCTGCTGCAATTCAGAGGGAGCACCTCCACCATGGCATACACAGACTGGTCCTTGCTTTCCTGCAGCCAAGTATCAACCATCAGGTCACAGAGGTTCCAAATGGGACCCTCTGGAAGCCCCTGGACGCCAAGCATCCCCTGCCTGCATCATCTGCTTGACCAAGGTCCTGGTCCATCTCTGCAGCTGCCCCTGGTGCTCAGCTCCCTGCTCTTCCCAGGTCCCACTGTTCTCCAGATGTATCCACAGGCAACCACACAAACACATGAATAATAAACCCATGAATCATTATCGTGACACCTCATTTGGGCACTTTGTCACACACACTATCCCCTGTGGCCAGCTGGCCTGTCCCCTCTTCCCTTCATCACCCTACAGGTTCTGCTCACACAGCAGCATTCACAGCAGTGTTGCTCCATGCAGTGTTTCCAAGTGTAGGCTTTCCTGTTTGCATGGAGTGATTGACATCCATCCTCTACCTGCTTCAGGAAGGGCCGCACCAGGGCTCAGCCCAGCATCCAGATAGCATGGGGAGAGGGAGAACACAAGGAGCAGGGCAAAGAACCAGGGCATAGCACAAAAAGTAGCTGTTAAAAGAATTACCAGTATACTCTATAGAAGGAAACCCCTCAGGCTGAAGAGCAGTTCCTGGAAAGCATTAAAGCACTCCCACAGATTGATTGCTGAAGTCCAGAGAAAACTCAGATTACCGAAACCCCATCTATTAATCTGTGCTTCGCACAAATGCCTCCGCATGAGGGGCATAGGCCACAACAGCACCTGCTGCTTCTCAGCATCTGCTGCCACACTTTGGCTCATCTTAAGGAGTCTGTCTGTAACTCAGAGCAGTTGTGAGAACACACACTGAGAGCCTGTGCACTGAACCCAGGCTGCAGGACAGACAGGGACACTTGGGGTCACCAGAGACAGACAGAGAACACCAGGACCAGATCACATATTCAGTGTTAGAGGAAAATCAGCCAGGTACATGCTCCCGAGGGTGACAGGACATCCACAGGCCATTAAGAGTCTGGGCCTCTGGGAGGGTGCCAAAGATTCTCACGTGGAGGTCTGTGCAGAAGAGAAGCTACTTGAGGATTAAAGCTTAGTCTGAACATCACACACAGACACGGCACTCAGCCTTTGAGAGGAATGAGCCTGAAAAGTCCATCTCCAACAAAAACAGCATCTAAGGGGCAAGGACAGCACCATTTAAAGTAAGGATGCACATCCCCTTTGTCTGCAAGCAGTAGGAGTAACACCAGGACAGTCTTGTTTATTGGGTTACCCTCCAGCATTACAGAGCAGAGGCAGCAACCCCAGTGGTGACAGCGCACAGCCGGTAGCAAGAGCTTGGAAGTCACAGCATCCAGTTCCAACCTGGCACTGCACTCACAGCATAGCCCGGGTTTTACACTGGGATCAGATCTGCCTCAATTCCAGACTCACACAATCCGATTTCTTATGTAAAACAACACCAATATTTGTGATTGGCAAAATACTCAACACTTCTGACTGCCCAGATCCAGACTGTTCTTTACCTCATTCTGGAGGAGTGGGGAAGAGCCAAGGGGAGAAGCAGCAGATGGTAACAGGACACTTGATAGTTTCCAGCATTTTTATTTCTTTTAAAGGGCATTCCACGTATCCTGATTCCACTTTCCTTCGCTGCTAAAGGAAACTGCTGCTTCCAAAAATTTTCACCCAGAAACCTGATTCAATTTGCTGGGGATTTGTGGAAGCAGAGGCAGATTCCAGCTTTGTCTGTGGGTTAGATTTGGTGACATCATCTGCTAAAATATGGGAAAATGTGAGCTGGAAGGGCAGTGTTCCGAGGCGCTCAGCTCATGTCGCCTTGGACATAGCTATTCCTCTGGAAACCCTCCCTGCAAGGTGTCTTGCCCCTTTCTTTGCAGCCAACTGATGGATCCCCTATGAAAGATGACAGAGGGGGTCCACCTCTCTCCATACAAAGAAGCCAACTAAACTGAAACTGAAACAGAAACAATCGGAGCTGAAATCAAACCCAAGATCACTTGGAAAGATGGGAAAAAAAGCTATAAAGAGCCTTAGTGAATGCCATCAGCAGCCCCAGCCTGACTCCTCCCTCATCCAAATTATCTGGTGTCCCATTAGGAGGCTCATTAGGAAAACTCAAAGCCTTTCCCTGCAAAAGTCACTACTTGGAGCTGCCCATCGGCCCACAATAGCTCCTCAGCCCTGCACAGAAACATCAGCTCCCACCAGCTCCCTGCAGCTCACAGCTGGAGCCACAGGTTTCAGCAAAGCAGCCAGGTAACTTCTAAAAGGAGCAGGGCTGATGGTGAAGCTGCCTGACGGATTTATACCAATGGGCAGAATGGGTGAGGATGTTCTGAAACCACTCAAATAACAGCACGGACAGGAGAAAAGGGGAAAATATCATTTGGAATGGTTGAGAGAGGTGATAACACCGTTTTCAACTAATACAAAGCAGCCTGATGAGGTGGCTGCGCGAGAAGGGAGCTCCAGAGCAGCAAGTATTGCTCCAGTATCCTGGTCACAAACTGCTCCAGCAGCCCCATACTTCTGCTGTACAACAAACTCACTGCAGCCCCAACCGCCGTTAACTTCACCATCAACTTCTGATGGTTTGGAAACGGTTTGCTCCCCAACCAGCAGTTTATTTTCCACCGTGCCGAGACTCTGTGAGCAAACCATTCATGAAAGCATTCCTCGCACGCCCACCTTTTCTTCCTTAAGGTCATTTTAAGAACCTAGAAACTACAATAGTTCACAATCCCGCTGCTATACAGAGAATCCCACACGCATTCGTCCTGCTAACACACAAACCACCCTGCAAACACTGGGCTTCCCGGGGAAAAGCACCCCGAGCCCACAAAACTGAGGCTCAGAAGCTGGATGGATCCCAGAGCTCCACTCTCAGCCCTTCACTGTTTCTCATTACCCCGCAGAGCTCCATTGGTTTAAACTTTTCTGGTTTCAAAATCCTCTTTGCCAACAAACCGCTTCAGAGCCTGGCCCTGAAGCACAAACTGCAGAGACCCCGCAGCACCGCTGGTTGTCTGCTCCAGACTCACACACAACTTCTCCAGCAGGCCCACGGCTCTCCCCCTGCCCTGCCCTGGCATTCCCAGCCCACCAGGGAAGGCAGAGCTCCACGTACTCAGACCCCAAAGCATCAGTGGAACGAAATGAAGTGGATGTCCCACTCCCGCAGGGTTAAAAAAGACATTCCAGGGTTTTTCCTGGCTGCGTGTCCAGGGCTGTTGCACATCTGGCACTTCGCCGCCTCCTCTCGCCACGCTCAACAGCCACGATTTTAGGGAGAAGCCCCACAAACAGGGGCTGGGGAGGAGCAGGGGGTGCCCGACTCGAGCTCCTGCGCCCGCGATGCGCGCAGGGAACTGGAAGCGCTGCTCGCTCCTGCGCTGAAAGTTTCTTCTCCCCAGGGAGAAGGCACAGGGCGAGGCGAGAGGTCTCCAGCTGCCTCCGTGCCGGTACAGCCGGCGACAGAGCCAGAGCTCCAGCTCCAGGGGCACATCCTGACTTCTGCTCCACAAAACCGAGCCCGGCAACAGGCGGCCCGGCTCCAGAAGGCGAATAAAGTTTTGCTTTAAGTTTTCTCCCCCTTTTCCGGGCCCCCTGACAAACGGCATTCGGAGACTCGGGCGGCTGAAGGAGGCTCGGGGGTTTCTTTCCCTTTTTCCATTCTTTTTTTCCTCTGGAATGCAGCGGGTCCACACAAACGTTTTTTATCCCGCACAAAGCACCCCCCTCCCCGACCCCGCAACGCCGCAGTCCCGAGGATGGGGGGGGCTCTTGGATAGTCCTTACCTGCCCGGCCGAGGGACAGGGCACCCAGCAGCACCAGGGCAGCGGGCACCCACCACCTCCGTATCCAACTGCGCCGTTTCCACCGCGTGTGCGTATCCATGGTCCAGAGGAACCGGGCACCCGCTCGAGGGGGAAAACCAATAAAAATAATAATATACAGCTATTTACAAGCCCCCCCCGAGAGCAGCCGCTTTATAGAGCCATGGGCGGGCCGAGGGCAGCGGGGGCTCCGCACGTCCGCTCCGGCTCCCGCCGAGGAAAACTTTCCTTCCTCTCCCCCCACCCCTTTTTTTTTTCCTTCTTCTCCTTCTTTTAAGCCCAAGGCCGGAGCCCGTCAATCCCGGAGCAGCGCAGCCAACCGGGAGCGGGCGCAGCGAGGCAGGAGCCGCCCCCAGCCCGCCCCCGGTAAGTTTGAACGGTGCGGCCCCCCCCCCCGACTGGGAATTCCATCGGGAATCTGCACGCCCCCCCCCCAACTGCCGGGGCTTGTGGAGCATGGAAAAGGCGAGGATTTGGGCAAAGAATGAGGCTGTGGCTGCAGAACTGCATAAAAAGAGAGCCCAGACCTCGCTGTAGGACTAGGTCACACAACACTGAGACCCTCAGTAAAACCAAGCTCAGGCCACCTGGAGACCAGAGGTGGAAGAATCACCAAACACAACCCTCTCCCTTAACTAAAACACTTTGAAGACTCTTGCTGGTATCCGTACTTGCTTTACTAGCGCCATTAAAGGTCTGAACATCATTGCCAGCACACATCCAGGTGACAGTCACACCTCCTGTGACTTCAATGGTTGCAGAGATTTGTCACAGAGCAGTGATTTCACCTATAAGCCAATGCCCTGGGCCACAGGAGAGCATCCCAGCCCTCCCCAGTCCTTGCACAGAAGCATCCTCAAAGGCTTCCATCATCCCAGTGAAAAGCAACCATTGCCATCACCCAAACTTCATGTTCTGCCTACCCTGGGATCCACTTTGCTTGTCTACACCTTCAGTCACTGTGAGAACCTGGGCAGTCACTGGTCATCCTGTTTATTACATACAAGGAGGGCAAGGTATGAGTTCAGAGTCACTTGTCCTACCCCTGTCTCACTGAAGAACTCCGCACAAAAAGGGACTTCTGAGCCTTAGCTGTTCACTCAGGGCAAGTCTGACCTTCTGGAATGAGACTTACTTAGATGGATAATTGATGTCAAACTCACTTATCAAAACCTACAAGCACAGGAGGCCGAATCCCACCAGATCAAGGGGAAAGGGGTGCTCCCAGTCCACTCAGCTTGTAGCCTAGCAAAGAACTTACGTAATGGAGAGGAGCTGTAGGAAATGTCCCCCTCTGCCTCTGAGCCCATGGAGATGCTCTCCCCACCGCCAGCATCCCAGTGGAACAGGAAGCAGCAGAGGATGAGCCACACACAGGAGAGTCTCTGCTGAAAGAGCCTTTCACCAGGGAGGCGAGAGGCAGGTTGGCTGCAAGCCCCCGAGCCCGGAGGCAGCGTGTGCTGGCTGCTGCCACGTGTGCAGTGGGGACCGTGCCAGTGGCACCCCGGGCACGGCCCTCAGTGAAAGCCCCCCAAGCTCCTGCCTTTGATGAGTAACCTGTGACCAGACAGGTTGGACGGGGCTTGGAGCACCCTGCTCTAGTGGAAGGTGTCCTTGCCCATGGCAGCGGGGTGGAACTGGATGAGCTTTAAGTTCCCATCCAACCCAAACCCATCTGGGATTCCATGACTAGAGGCTGGTGAGACAAATTAAGCAATACTTCATATCCAGGAGCCTGGGGCAAGCTCTTCCAGTGCAAGTAATACCCGTGCAAGCCTGCAAACACCACTGCAGAGCTCCACGGGATACAGCCCAGCAGTGACAACATCCATCACCATCACACCTCCCTCCTGCTTGGGAATATCCCACTACACACAGCAAAAGCCCCTTCCACAGGTTCACAGCTGCCTCTGGAATGGAACAGAGAACGTGTTCCATAGCTGAGACACACAGGGATTCTCTCCCCCCCATTTGTATGGATCATGAAGCATCTGGATATGGATCATCATGAGGCATATGGATATGAAACTAGGACAGGTAAAAGCACCACAGACCCTGAGGACTGCAAATAACCCTCCTCTTCCCACTAACACTTGTTATTATGATGACAAAGTGATAACATGATCCACAGTATTTATATGGATGCCCAATCACCCTAAGAGGCACTGACAGAGGTGTGCTCTGATTTCAGCCCCGGTTACACAAACACCAGGATCCTCGATCTTCTCCCCCCAGCCTGGCATCTCAGACCATACAAGCAGCTCATTGTTTTGGAATGAAACCCTGGTTTGTCTTCTCCAGCTCCAAGTGAAAATCCCACCAACACCTGAACGCTGTCACCAAGGCGTTGACATTCCCCACCCTTCCAGAGGCACACAGCTAGGGGAAGGGGATACCTAGAGCATCAAACACACTGCAGACAAGGAAATAAAAGCAGCTCAGAGCAGCATCACTCATTTTTCAAGGGCTCTTAACTCCAGGATCAAGCCAGAGCACCCAGACCTGGACCCACATCAGATGCAAAGCACCTTTTGCTTTGCACCAGCTGACAACCCAACCCAGGGAGCTTTTCCTGAGCGCTAGGTCTGAGTTCCCAGTTGCTCTCCAGGTGATTTCGAAGCTTGCACAGACCTGTTGGCCCCTCCTTAACAATAGCAGAGAAATACGGAAACAGGCCTGTAATGGTAAACTGGAAAATTCCAGCATCCACCCGCCAGGTTCATGGAGCCAACCCTCGGGTTAGAGTGGCCCAGATCATCCGGTGGTGTGAGCTCCAAGTGGGTTTACACGAGCTCCTGGTTGATGCCAACTCCAAGCCCTTCCAGCAGCCAGGCAGGGTAACATGGGAATAGCCAAAGGAATACATTGCAGCAGAGGCAGATGGCCAAATATCTTTAAGGAACAGCAGTTTATAGAAGTATTTTCATGACTAAATGCATCTTGAGCCCAGCTGCCTCTTTATGGGATGGAGAAGACATTTGTGAGCTTTCAAAGGAGCTTACGATACTTCGGTAGGGTTTGGGGTTTTTTAATCATTTATATGCTATGAAACCAGACACAAGCCTTGAGCCAACCCCCCCCAAAGGGTGTTATTCTGTAGTTTAACAGTAAGTGTGGGGATAATCAAAGAGCAGCCCTAGTTGTTGCTGGTAACAGGTTACACCCGATGGCCAGCTGATGGGAACAGACTCAGCATTAGAACTACCTGAACTGTTGCATAAATAACCAGGAAAGACAAAACTGTTCCCAGGAATTGTTTCAAATGCTGTCTATGAAGAGCATACATATCCAAAAAGACAATTCTCCTCTGTGATCTCATCATCTGCCTTCACTCCTTGCAAACATAAACCCAGTTACATCCCTACCCAGAACTCAAGTTGTGTGAATGGTCTCACGCTGAGGTCACGATCCTGCCCTGTGACCTCACACCCGTTGCCATGGAAATGGTCACTTTCCAATTCAGCTTAAGGAAAAAAGAGAATTTAGAGTTGAGACATCTTGGATTGAGAGACCTGAAAGATAAATCTCTATTTCCCACTGAGGAAGCACAGAGCTGGAGCCTCAAGTCCCAGTGCTCCATACTCTGTGTGGTCTTTAATCCGAGCAGAGTGCTGTTTACTGCATCACCCAGGACCATTAGGACCTATTCCCACCTGCTGAAGAGCTGCAGCATGGCAGCAGCTTCCCCAGTGCCCTAAAAACCTTTCTGAAAGCACTGTTTTGAGCAAAGGCCATCACAAATCTGCAGTTATACAACACGGTGATGGGCAGCACATCAACAGCGATGCTGCAATGCTGCAAGCCATCACACAGAGCAGACTCCTATGCTTTAGTTAGGCTGCAGGGACCTGTGAAGAGATTCATCAGGTATCTCCTGAACATGGAACATGCACACCACCACTAAGAGTTCAAGTTCTTTCTCCCAGAGACACAAATCACAACACACAGAAGTAGAAATACCCCTCCTGTGCTTCAGCACCTCTTTGGCCTCACAGACCTGGCTCCACACAACAGCCCCAGTGCTGCATGGCCGGGAGCTGGACAGCCCCATCCCAGCTGCTCTGCTGGAAACTCGGATCCGAGTTTTGCCATGAGGTGGCACCAGGACAAGCCCATGGTGGGAAGAGCGGCCAGCACAAGGTGGGGCTTGTTTTTTGTATGTTTGAATGCTTCATAGTCAAAGAGGTTTGTTTGGTAAAGGAAATAGCATCATAAAGGGAACGGACTTTCCACTCCTCCTCTTTTTCCAGTGTTGTTGCCTTCCCTTCACTTCATGTTAATGACTCCAAGCCTTGTAAGTGTTTGAACCATATGATCTATTAAATGCAAAAGGACAAACTGCACCATGGTGCCTATTGAGAAGGATGAACTCAGATCACCTTATTTTCATTTGATTCCTCTCCATGCCCACTGCCAGCCTGAAAGACTGGTAGGAGCTGCCATTCCCTCTTCACATCCCTGTGTTTTTATTCCCTCATGCCCTATGATCTGCGGTCAATGGCCCAGGCTAAACCCTATATAATCTGTCTAGACTTGAGGGAGATAATCCATGGTGCTGCAGAAAGCTTTGTGTTAAACCACGAGGCTGCACATTAGCAAGGAGCTGTGACTTACCCTGTGATCTTCACAGGGTCAAGAATGAAGAAGCTCTTAAGTGACTTGGACTAAACTCCCACTGACCCCAATGAAGGTTTGGTTGAATACAGACCACAGAGCTCATTCTGTAGCCCCAGTTCATCATAATCATGCCTGAAGATTAAAGGTGAGCCCAAACCACAAAGCTTATGCACAGGTCCAAACTCACCCAGTGACATCTGGCTTCAGGGGTTGAGCTTGGGTGCCCAGGAGGAACACTTTCATCTGGACCACTGTGGTGCTCATTTCCAAGCCTATCCCCAAGGAAGGCTTTTCCATTTTCCCCAGGGATGAATGAGGATAGGCAGGAGCCAAATGAACACGACAATTTCCTTCTCACACACCTCCACTTTTTGTTAATGGTGATGGTGCTACCTCTGCATACGTGAGGGTACAACATCAAACAGGCAGGGTTCAGGGCATGTGGGGTATTACTGGATGGAAGTTAAATAACACAAAATTCCAACTGGGATGTCAGGAAAAATAATCCTTACACTGAGATCTCCTCAGCCATGGAAGATCCGTTTGTGTTCTCAAAGGAACTAGTGAAAATCTTATTGCTTGAGTCATATCAAATCAATCGGACAAACCTATAGACTGCTGGGAGCAATCCTGCCCTGGTGTGACTGCGGGTTGTGTGACCA